CAGAGTCTGGATCCTTTGATGCCCTGGTCCCACCTACAGGGGAGGCCTTTTGAGTTCTGAGGGAGTTGCTTTTTCATTCACAGGGTCACTACTAGCTCCTGGTCAAATATCAAACCCATCATGAGCAAGTCCACTCAACAATTCTTTTCTGTAATTTATTTGCAACCACCTACCTCCCCCCACCCACAACCCCCACCACACACACTCAATCTCTCGCAACTGTGCCCCAGTGAATCACAGTTCTGGTCCTCTACTCCCATGGAGTTTATAAATGGCCCAATCTGCATCAAAACAGCCCCATGATATGTTAATAACTCTACCACTGACATGTGATGGAATAGCTACCACTAACAGTATTCAAATATTTCAGAACATTGTATTCTTAGTCTGTCTTGAGCTTGTTTTTGAATTCAGAGTAAACATATAAGCGCTGGGCAGCCAAAGCTCTGTCTTTTCATAATGGTGTACTGTTACAAGTAGGCATTGCCTGTTTTCTTTATTTTGCTTTATTTTTTGTTATTTACTTATTTAATTTTAAGTAGGCTCCATGCCCAACGTGAGGCCTGAACCCACAACTCCGAGACCAGGAGTCGCATGCTCTACCAGCTGAGCCAGGCAGCACCCTGCCTGTTTCCTTTATATCACTTCCATGATTTGGAGTGACTGAAATGAAGTACTACTGTCACCATAGTTCATGAGGCCAACAAACATACAAAAGAACACACGTGTAGGGAGCCCACACACTTGAGGATTCTGCAGCTGACCTGCCAAGGTCCGCTCTTTTGCTAGTCTTCTTGTCTCATTCCTGATAACAATGATAATGATAATAACCATAACTATTATTATTATTATTACCACTATTATTACCATTATTGGTATTACTTAGTATTTACTTCTTTTTGGTCAAATGAAATAGTTCCTACCCTATCTAATGCTACGCTACTTGCTTACCTTACTGTGGTTGCTCACTGAGGTTGAACTACACAATGACAAAAGTAGCTGCCACTGGACAGTCCCACCAAGGGACCGCAGAGAAGGCACGTCCACCTAAGTACTTGCTTCTTGGTTTACACGGCCATCGGTCCCCTCTGTGCAGAAGCAGCATCAGCAAGGACCCCAGAGATCACGCACACGTCAATACCAAAAGATGCCTACGCAGTCTGACCAAGACAGTCCTGTGATGACGGCCACGGTCTACATCTGTGCCATCCGATATATCCTGGCCACCAAGCCCCTGAGACGAGGAACTAAAATTATAGCTGTATTTAATTGTAATTAACTAAAATTAAAATAGCTAGTGGCTACCATATTAAACGGTGCAGCTCTAGACACGTGGACTCACCACGGCATCTCAGAGTTTTTACCTTGTCCCTGAAACACAAGAATCTGATCATCCTCAAAACTGGGTTTACGATCATCGCACTCGAGAATGTCTCTAGAAAATACTACGGCTCCCACAAGGGAACACATTTCTGTGAGGCTGTAGCTACAGAGAAAAGGCAAAGTGGCTTCTCAGAGGACATGGGGCCGGCTCCTCTGCAACCACCAGGGGTCACTGGATTCGGGACAGGGTCCCCAGGGGCTGGTGTGAGCACACACTCCAGGCTTATAAGCCACAAGCAAAGAGCTAAAAGAAGGGGTTCTGAGCGGCTTGAAAGACTATCTTGAAAAACAAAAACAGTGGCATGAAACCAGTGGGTGTCTTGTCAGCCTTAAGCAACTATTACCACTGGCCAAAAGAACAGAACTAATTGCTGACTTGAAAGGAAAAGAAAAAAAAAAAAAAAGACAAAACAAAACATGAGAAAAGAACTAAATCAGAAAATATCTAAGGAATGTAAGTTGTTTCCACAGACACTTCTGAGCAAATAGGCTGTGTATGATATTTCAACATGGCTATTCTGTTGTCCTTTTCCTCCCCCCTCGGCTCTCCCGACACCCCCCATGCTCAATGAAGACACCTCCTTTCCTACACGCAATTACTTTTGCTTAGCTCTCCCATAAGGGGATAAAACATATGGCACTCTTCTCTTAAAGAGTGTCTCCTCTTTGTGGAGTGGCGAAGTGTGGGGGACACAGGGCTTTTGGGTTTGACTGGAAGGTCCACCATCTGCCCTGCCCTTGATCAGGCACAGCTGTTTCCCCTCTCCCAACTGCTCCCCTCAGGCACCCCCCCTCTTTTTTAAAGAAAGGACCACCCTGAACAGAAAGGGCTTTCTATCCTCCCCTGCTTAAAGCCCCATATCGAGCCTTGTAAGGAGAAGGAAAGTGGCAAATACAGCAAGTGACTTTTAAAATCAGAGGATAGAAGGAAGGGTTCTGAAACCAACCGTATGATTTTGTTTTCTGGAGACAGGTTACAAGAGCCACCTTTTCAAACTTCAGGGATTCCTCTGGAAGAGGAAAATAATTATTTTCCTTCTCAATATCTTCAGGGAGAAATAACATTAGATCGAGGAGTTCCTTATGGCCCTAATTTTCTTTCTGTCCCCATCCATCCAGCCAACGGTTGGAATTCTGCCTGCTTTGCGAGCTTGCTCTGAAAAGCCCTCCCAAACCGCAGGGTGTAATGAATCAACTGGAATGAGGATAAGAGCTAGAATTTCCAACCGGTAGCCAGGGTGGCAGAAGGGGCACTCAAGGTGAGGGCGAGGCCTGAACCAGGGGGCGGTGGAGGTGAACGGGCAGAGGGACAGAGGTGAAGGCCAGGCTCAGATGGAGAGTAACGGAAGCTCTCTCGGAAGTGTCACTTGCTAATTGGTGGCCCTGTAGCCTGGACGGGGCTGGCCTCCGAGAGAAAATGTGCTCAGAAGAATGCAAGGGAGAAGGCCGAATTCTTAGGGAGAACCTGAAGACAGTTGCTGAGTAAGAGCCAGTAAACCTCCCCATGCTGCGTCATCTATGTCCCTTCATTCAAAGTGCCTCCGCCAAGCTGCCCCCTCATACCCACCTCACGCAATGCGCATGCACGCGCACGACACGCATACACACTGCAATCACAATCAACCACGTGCACACACACAGAGGTTCACATGTAAGACATGCATACAAACGCATGCACACACATATTCACAGACACACCAACATCTACACATAAAACGCATGACATGTGCACACACACACACACACACACAGACAACCCACAAAGACCTTGAGAAAGAAACACATATGCTGACGCATAAAGACACCCATAACCCACAAGTACATACTAGGCCTACACACGCTGACTCATACCCCACAAACCTTCTTTATGTTCGGATACAAAGTGGAGGTTGGGAAAAACAACCAATTAATTGGGCCAGGTCTCAAAGGAGAGGAAATGAAATGAAAAATCTGGGCTGGGTTATAAAAATAAGTTTTTTTTTTTTTTTTTCCAACGTGCAGGAGGCTCATTATATTAATTAAACATTATTGCAGTGAACGAGAGGGGGGAGGGTGATTAAGGCTGGGACGAGGGTAAGTGTTCTCTCCTGTTGCCCGAGGCCACGGTGATCTTCAGATATTAATCTCTCCGAGCACTCAAATGCTGAAGAGATAAACACTTGAAATATGAAAATGTTTTTCTCCAGAGCAGACGCTGTGACCATCCAGGAAAGCAAGTGCAGGCTGTGTCAGGAGGCCAGCCCGCAAAACTCTCCTGGCATCTCTCCCACTGCTGTCCCCTGGGGGCAGGGGACACCGCCAGTCCCTGGGGTTGAGGGGCAGCAGAGCTGCTCTGGGGAACCCTGTAGAAGGAGGGGGGGCCTCATCCCCCTTTTATTCTCCAGTCAGGCAACATTTGATCTACCAACTTCCAGAACGGACCCCTTTGCTCTCAAAAGCTTATGGGGCTCCGAGGTCCAGGCCTGGGGTGCAGAACAGTGAAAACCTAACGCGTGGTGGGCCAGAGCCAACGTGTGCTGGCTTGCGAGAGCCGGCTGTTAAATTTTCTGGAATTTTGCGAGGCAGTTGTTAAGCGCGGTCATTATTAAAAATTAAATGACATAAAGTTACCATTAAATAAGTTACATGAAAAACGAAAGGTCATAAATTCTCAGAACGCAACACCTGCTCAGTATTTGGATCCATCTCGCCAGTCTCTATGCTCCTGAAGTCATTCCTATCTATCCGAGCTGTCTGATGGCAGAAAACGATCTAAGGCTGTTTGCATTTCCCACCTCTGCCTCTGGTGACGTGTTGGTAGTGTAACCGTGGGGGGGTGCCTTGACACCACTGGAAGTGGCAAACATTACAAGGCAGGGTTTCTCTCTTTCCCCATCCCCGGGGAGGTGGTGGTTCAACGCTGGCCAGAACCCCGCTGTAAAAGCACGCTGCGGTGGACAGAGGAGACCCCTCCTGCTCCTGCAGGCTGAGGAGGGCTCAAGGCAAGCCCTCTCCATCCACAGTGCCCCAGGAGGCTGCCGAAAGCCGGCACTCAGAAAGGGCAGCTGAACAGTGTGCCGGGGACTGTCTTCCAGCAACACTCTTCCAGAAGCCGAGTGCCAGGCAGCTCTGTGAGACCCCATGGGCACGGCAGCATTTTGGCCCCTCAGCTTGGTTTGCTACCGCCGTGAGGATACTCTCAGAGAAGTATCCGTTGGGCTGGAGGCCAGTGGTTTCCTAAGGAGGCATTTTAGGAAGTTTTAGGAGTGGACAAGAGGCTCTGTGATGTCGGCCGGGAACGCTACAGCTATGGTGACAAGGGGACACTCCCTCATCCCGCCTCCCGAAACCTCCCAACTACTCTCCCTTTCGTCTTTTTCTTTCTTTCCTCTTGGCCTCTCTTGCTCCCTCCCGGCTTCCGGGCTGCACTGTTAATCACAAGACAGTGCTAGGAACCACGACCCAGCTCTTCTGCAGGGTAGATGCTGTGAGCAAAGACTGTGGTGGTTTGTGGGCGCAGAGCAGAGGATTGCTCCGTGGTGGGAAGTTACAACGCTTGTCAGGGCATCTGGGGCTGCGAGACGCGCAGCAGGCTAGCCGTCGTAACTCTTTCCTCTCCGAATCTGCCGCCGGCTTACCTGGAAATGTCCGGTCGTTTGGGCTGGAGCTGCCGGTCCAGGTGCTCCTGAGCCACTTGGCATGGTCGTACATCCAACCACAGGGCTCCTCGGCGAAGTCAAAGTTGCAGTTGAATCCTGAAGGGAGCTGCAGATCTTTGTCTGAAAGGGGGGGGGGAGGATAACCCAAAGAAGGCAAATGTAGTGGGTTGGGACAACAGCCACAGCGGTGCTATTCAAAACGCTGGCAAGGCCTCAGTGGAGGGCAGAGAAAGAAGTGGCTCCCTTTGCTGACTCATTTAACTCATCTTGGCGATCGTTGGCTTTCAGGTCAGCCTTTGGTCTCATCCTTCCCAGGCACGAAAGCCAAGTCTGCCAGTGGTTCCCATAGTAAGCAATTACAAAGGAGGCCACCAAATGGCTTCAGGCTCTAATCAGGCTCTTCTGTCCACCTCAGAGAGCAGACAAATGTGAAAACTGCTGTTCCCTAAGTGCCAGAGAAGAATGTCTCCCCAGTGCCTCAGTGGAAGGCTGGCTCCTGCCCACCTGGCTCTCACAAGTGATGGGGCAGCCCATTAGCATCCAGGGAGGCTGGCGTGCTGGGGAGGTACCGGCCAGGGAGGAGAGAGTGAGCTCCGAAACAAGGAAGGCTTGTTTGTCCCCCCTCACCTCCGGTGACAGGTCTTCCGTGCCAGGACACAGGGTCAGCTCGGCCTCCCCGTGGGGCGGCACGGCCAGGAGGGCGACTTGGCACGGTAGGGCAAAGCGAGGGGCCAGAGCAGCCGGCCACCTCGCTCAGCATTGGCCAGGAGCAAAAATAATCTCGCATGGCACCGAGTGTCTGCGGGCCAAGATCTCAGGGGCAGCAGGGAGTGCCTTCCTCATGGAAATGTCAGAAGTGACTGCACAATGGCTCGTCCCTGTCTGCTCGGTGGTCCCATGTCTAAGCCGGAAGACTGAACCCAAAGACTTTCTTTGGAGGCTCCAGTCAGCTCTAAAAATCCACTATGAGCTGGTGCCAAAGATGTGATGAAGCGGGGGCGGGCGTGTGGAGGTGGGAGAAAGGAAACGGGAAGCCAAATCTGGATGCTTGCCAGCAGCGGCTGCGGAGACAGCGGAAAAGTGCTGGCTAACGCTAGTAGCCGGGAGGAAGTGGGGTCTTTGGCCTTCTCACTTCCCTTCCCAGGGTTCCCGGAGAGGAATTTCCGTGGGGAAGGCCTAGAATGCAGGTTAGGAAGTCTACAGGGAACAACGGCCTGGTGGAGACAAATTGCTCACACCACGGGGGCAAGGGGAAGGGCGCTGCAGGCGGCAGAGGCAGACTGCCACCAGGCCCTGGGCCCTGGCTGTGCCTCCCCGTCCCAAGAGGGAGTATTTCATGTTTGCCCACCCTTGGCCAAAGTCAGCCCAAGGCGAGGAGAAACACATGGAATTGATTACAGAAGCCGCAACCTGTGGCTTGGAAAAGTCAGCCCTTAGCCCTCACCCCCCTGCTCCCGACAATTTCTCAATTTCTATTTTTCCATTAAAAAATACGGAGTAATTCAATATACCATAATTCCTCTTTCATGTTTACATGCATACTCTGTCTCAGGAACCAAATTCCACAAAGAAACCTTTTGCAAAAAAGAAAAAAAATAGGGAGGAGCCACCAAAGAAAGCTCAAATGAAACAAACCACTATAAACGGGGAAATGACATTAAACTTCTGAAAGTTTACAGCAGAACTCTTAAATTTTCCTCTGGATCACCATTTAGATAGAACCCCCTCCTCCTGCCCTCCACCAAGCTAGCTCTGCTAATCCGATGCCATATATTTACTCCCTACGCATTCCACCGTGAGCTCGCAGACCATCTTAAACGCGTCTTGGAAGATTCTCCAAGTCTCTTTCTCCTCTTCATAAAACAAAAACAAGTTCATTAAAATGTCAGAATCTTGTATTCAGCTCACCCTGACCAACAGTGTTGCCCCGCCCACACAATATACAAAAGCACATTCCTGAAAGCATATGCATTAAATTATCATTTTTCAGTCACACAACTTCAGCGTTTCTGTCTGGCTTCCCTCCCATTCTCCTCTGTAGCCACTTTCTGGAGGCAGCCACTCCATCAGCGGAGTGGTGTTGGTGCGTGCGCGGGGCGCGGGGCCTCACAGACTGTGCCATCAACCTACCGAGTCGGTGCTACGCTGTGTCTCCACCAAGTCTCTCCAAGTCTCCCCAAGTCTCTCCACCAATCTCCCCTCATTTTGTCTAATGAACGTCTAATAGGGATCAGTCATTTACTGTAAGTGGAGACTGTCGAGCCTTAAATTCCAGCCCCAAATGCCAGGTGTTCCAAAATTTGTGGCTTGTTAGGAATGTCCTCATACTTGGTAAGGTGACGTCCTTTTGGGCTCTGCCAATTATTGTTTTTATCTAACCCGGATGCGTTCAGAAGATGAAAGGAAGGTGATACAGAGCTCCCATGTGAAGAGGCTGATCTGGAACGAAGAGCCCCTGGGATCTGAAGGAAGGCTTTACGTGCCTTTGTCACTGACCTGTGCTCCCGCCCCATGGAGGATGGAATGCGTCATTTTCTGGAGCCATGATTATTACACTTTCTCAGTCAGCAGTGGGCAAAGACACAGGGCAATGCGGTCACGGAACGGTTAACTGCTGAGTTAACCTGACCGCCGCGCTCCATGGGCCAAGTCACCCCGATGACCACCAGATCTTCACCTGACTTTATGGTGGAGACACAGCTCGGTACAAAGAGGCTGAGGATTCTAATGATTCGAAGTGAGGGCAAAAAGGGAGACTTCTCAAATGAGGGGTCCTCTCTGGATGGACCCTTATCTCAGCTGATGACCAGTAGGTTCATGCCTGTAGGCTGTCCCTGGTTGGTTGTTCCAATATGTGAATATTTCTAGATTGGCTGTAAATGGCCACTGCCCCAAGCTCCTGACTACCCACACCTCCCTGACCTCTGATCAGGGGACGTCCAGGTCCCCGCCCGAGCCACAGGCCAACCGCCTCTGATTGTCAGACTGTGCCATCCCAGATGAACCATGACTCACCATCCTCAAAGTTGCAGTTCTCCCCACACTCCGTGGCCTCCTCATCAATGGGATATGGGGTGGTGGTCTCTTCACTCTTCACCGTGGGTCCCAGTGTCTCTACTGTGGGCTTTGAGTCTGCATAAGGGCAAAGAGAGGGGGGAGTGAATGCTGCACGCGGCAGCCTGCACTGAAACCCAGCAGGAAGATGCCCCACGCTCAGTTTCCTTTCTAAGTGTGGGCTTTTAAAGGAGGAAGAAAAGATAATGAATGAAGATGGATACATACACATACACGCACACACACATCCCTGGAGTCACCTCTGTGTGCTGTCAGAAGCACGGCCTGAGTTGAACAAGAATAGTCCCTAAGCTGCAGGAACAGCCACAACACAGGCAGGGACACAAACCCATGTCCCTGCCGCAGACTCCACAGCAAAGGCTCTGGGGCCAGCACAAAAGGCCAGGTGGGACCGTGAGGGATGTGGGCGAAGCGGACCCTAAGGCAGGCTAACACACACACACACAATGAGTGGTGCCCATCTGAAACAGTAAAGAGTCTCAGTGCCTAATGATGGGAGCTTCCTGTGTACTGTCCCTTAGGCGGCTGCTGACGTGCCTTCTCAGCCGGCTCACCCCGTGCTCTTAGGTGGAAGAGACGTTCTCTTTTCAGCCTTCTCTGACTCAGACAGAACTTTTTTGAACCAAAGCTAACTGACCTAGGAGGCCCGCCTCTAACAAGATCATCAGAAGCACAACAGCCAAAGCTCTGAGTGAAGGCAGACAGCCACAGCCGTTGTTGTTCGCATTTGCACAAAACTGGACAGAAAGGGACCCAAAGGGACTCAGACTCCACTTGCCAGAAGTAATTTCGGCTGTGCCTTTAGGTCAGGGTGTGGCAAATTCAAATGCTTCCTGGATGCACGCAGCTCCCGTAAGCCAGACGGCTGACTGGGGGCTGGGGAGAGTTCAGTGCGGGACGGAAGGTGGCAGAGGGCATCTCGCATGCCCTGATTCAAGGGAGGCCACCAAACGGGCTCCAGCACACTGAAGGTCTGAAGGGAAGGGAAGGGGCCCAACGTGGCCAGATCTTGCAAAAAAACATTTCTTTTCCAACACGAAGCCAATTTCATTCCCATGGAAGATCTCTAGACTTGTCCATGTTGGCAACTTATTCAAAGTATTGTAACAAGGAGCATGCAACAGAGCTTGGCCAGGCCAAACCTGGCTGCAGGCAGTCAGTTCTGACCTAGGCTCTAGGTGATTCATGCCCCCATCCATTCACTTGTCTATTTGCTCACGCCAGTCATTCATTCAGCAACTATTTATGAAATGAATGAAACAGTGAGTCACGCCCTGGGTGGGGCAAGGAGGGGTTCTGGTAACTGGCATTCAAGTCCGTGCCTCACGGGGTGGGGTCTTCAGCCCCCAGTTGCCCTCCAACGAGAGACTCGCCGAATAAGCTGGTGCATTGTTCCTCCCATTTCTATACATGTTCCTATGATAAGGTGCCTTTGTCAGGCACACTTTAGGATACCATTTAATAAAGCCAGGAGCTGAAGGAAATTGCTAAATACGCTGAATAGCTTTTTCACGGTCGACTTCCCATCTTTCTGCTATTAAATACGACGCACATAACCTTTCATACTTCCCTTTGCCGTGTCTGCCTCTTGCTCACAGTAAATAGCAAATAACCTCGAAGCGTCTTAATTTGTAAGTTCAAATTTGTCACTGTGTCATAGAATCTCAAACTCAATTGTAAAGCAAACTATGGGCAGCAAAGCAAGAAGTAATCATTTGGAACACAAACAAACTAACAAGTGAAGCAGCCCCGTCAAATTATTTAGCTGCAGTGACTCAGGCCAGCCCTGTTATTTTTTCCTGCTCTCCTTTTGGGGTAGGAACGAAGTGAACCAGGGACGCATCGCAGAAAGGAATGGGAATTTGAAAAGCAAAAAAGCTACGTGGCCCACAAGAGCAGTTTCTGGGGAGGTTAGGTAGCTGGTTGGTAAAGATCACGTTAAATCCGGGGGCACAGGGGTCTGAGGAGGCAAGGAGAGAACAGGGTGTGTGAAGGATAGTGAGAAGGCAGGCCATGTCCGCTGCGCTTTCCTGGGAGCTCAGGGGTAACTGCCCATCAAACTGCAACGCTCCCCTTACAATTGAAACCAGATGTCAGCAACTTCAAAGGGAAGGAGGCTGGGCGGAGGCTAAGAAGCCCCAATTCTGATCTTCCAAGGAATGGCCAGGCAGGACTTTGAAATGAGAAACCTGTTGCTGACCATCGCCAGGGTAATTTGGACCAGGTTGGGGCGGGGGAGCAATAAGAGGAAAAGGACATTAGCAACTGTCCAGCCGGTCATAAAGCAGGGCCAGCCCGGGAGAGGCGTGGCACAGAGGGGCAGACCTCTGACAAGTAGCTTCCTCTCTCTGGGACTCAGTTTCCCCATCTGTGATAGCGACGTTGACCTAGATCTGTGATTTTTTTTTTTCCAAAGTGTATGCCACACTCGTTTGTAGGTTGTGGGATCAATGTGATGGGTCATGATCAGAATTTTTGAATGTGGACTGTAATATGTCAGAGTGTGCTCACATGGGGAAAATGAGCACTGATCTGGGGACCGTTCGTTCCAGTTGCGTTTACTTATTACTGCAGGTTTATTAGGTGCCAGGCAGCAGTCTAAGTACTTTATATCCATTATATCACTGAATCCTCATAACAACCTACAGGGTGTAGATATGCTATTATCATCCCGATTTTTCAGCTGAGATAACCAAGATGCCGAGAGTCTAAGGAACTTGTCTGAGGTCATGTAGCCAGCGATCAGCAGAAGCAGGGCTTGTACTTGGCAATCTGTCCCCAGGGTCCAGCACTTAACAATACACCATAACCCGTATGCACACATCATGTGAGTGTGTGCTTGCGAGCCAACTGGATTGTGATATAAATTTATTTTAAATTGTGGATTATGGTCAAAAATGTTTGAAAGCCACTGGCTTTTAGAAGCTCCTGGGTCCCCTGCAGCTCTAACCCTTTGATTTCGAAGAGGCCATAAACGAAGCCAGCTTGTATCACTCTGGAGGGGCAGTTTTCCGCACCTGCAAGCAGACAGGTGACTCACATTCAGCAGGCTGCAGGGAAACTTGGCCTTTCCCCTACGTGAGGGGGAGTAAAGTATCTTCCCTCTAAAATGTGTTCGCTGGGGCTGCCTTCAATCCAAAGGTGAGAGAGGCTGATTTGGGCCCGATTTCCAGCCTGCGTGCCTCAACGGGGCTCCTCCTCTGAGCCATCGGACGCAGCCTGCTCCCCCCTGGGCGCCAGAGGCACTTCTCCGACATGCCTATCCTTCCCGATGCCCTGCTGGGGGAGCTGGAGACGGTAGGGCACCGACAGGAAAATGGAGATACCTGGGGGCCTGGTGGCCAGAGGCGGGGCAGCTCGGCCTGTCTGCCGCTCCTGCTGGCACTGGGTTCAGGTGGCTCCCCTGAGCTCCTTTTGGAGGGCAGGGAGCCAGCTTCAGGTGAGATCTCGCGCCAGCTCTGCCCACGGAGGTGCCCAGAGGAAGGGGGGGGCCTGATTCAGAAGAAAAGGGTGCTTCCCGGAAACAGGGAGGGTGGGCATGCGCAGTGGGCCTTACCTGCAATAAGGAGAGTTAGAGGTCTTCCCTGGGCCTGGGCCGCCGAGGATGGCGGGGTGAGGTGTGGTGGGGGGGTAGGTGGAGGGGCGGAAGGAATGAGCAAGACTCCCGCTTGCGCACGGGGAAGAAGTCCTACTCCCGGCAGCTCCCCTACAACAGGGTCCCTCCTGAGCAAATAAATGCCTTTTACAGATGTGGCTTCGAAACGAAAATGAAGTGTCTTAGCCACTGACATCTGGAGGCCAGATTCAGACATAAACCGATTACTTTATTATCATGAGGGGTTTTTTTCTTCCCTAAATCAACAGCCACAGCCTCCTGGCCCGAAGAGTCAGGGTCTAATTGAATTTGGGTGGGTGGTGTGTGGTTATGATTTGTTTTTGAGAGACTGGGGTTGGGGAACTGAAATGATCCTTTAAAAAAGACAAAGCACATCCCTCGAGAAATTACCCCCTGTCCAGAGGCTGGAGTGCCCAGGGTTTGAGGGCAGGAGAACATGACAGGGCCTGGGGTGGGTGGGGTTTCGAGCTGACAGAGCTCCACCGGGGAAGGCTGCCCCCTCTGCCCATCCACAATGTCATGGTCTGACCTCCTCCCAGGGCATCCCAGGAAGCCAGGGTCACACGACCATGTGAGCGAGACCTGGAGTGGGAAAGCAGGCCTTACCTGTCCAGTCACAGCCCAGCACCTCCAGCCGCATCCCAATCCCTGCTGGAGACCACCTCTCGGGGTACACCCGCACATACTGTGCCGGAACGGGGTCGAATCTTCGGATGTCAGGGGTGTCATAGTGCATGTTCCCTTCAAACAGCTGCAGGGGAGACAGGCCACTCAGCCCCTCTTCTGTGAGATCCCATCCCCACCCCTCCCCTTCTTCCCTATCCTTCCCCTTCTCCTCCCTGCTCTGCACATCTATCCAGAAGGTAGCTTCATAGTTGACTCACTGGACATTACAACCCATAGGAACTCCATCCTCAGACCAAAGTTTTGGTTCATTTGGAAGATGGTTAGGGTCCCAGAAACACAGAAAAGAGGGAGCAAATGGAGGTGGCAATTGCTAGGTTCTGTCTTCTACCATTGGACTGGAGACTGTGGACTCGGGAAAGAATTAGGCTCTGAATGGACTTGGCTGGAGAGAAGACAAGTGAATTTCAGGCTGCTTTGCCCATTGTCTTCGAAGTTCTTGTTGTAGGGGCACCTGGGTGGCTCAGGTGGTTAAGGGTCTGCCTTCGGCTCACGTCATGATGGAGCCCCATGTCAGGCCTCCCCCCGCTCAGCAGGGAGTCTGCTTGTCCTTTTCCCTCTGCCCCTCACCCCACTCATGCTCTCTCTCAAATAAATAAAACCTTTAAATAAAACCTTAAAAAAAAAAAAAAAGTTCTTGTAATGCTTAAAAGTCTATGTAGAAAGCCCCAGCTGACTGACAGGTCACCAAAAGGCTGAAGGTAGAGTGACCATCCTCTTCTCCAGGCTAATAACAACATCCTCTCATCATACATTGATAGTCTGAGACCGTGCCCCCCAAAGCTTTGTTTAGCAGAGCTTTCTAATTCTGTCAAAACAAAGCTCACCTAGAGCCCCAGGACATAAACTGAGGATAGTGCGGCTCTCCTGGTCTAAGCCACGTGGGGGACGCAACCCAGAGCACATGTGGGAGCCACTGATTAGGGCGATGTTGGTGCGGAGACGTGCCAGGGGCTGTGGCTGATCAGCACCTAGGGATGCTGCAGGGCTACCTCCTTTGCAGGATGCCCACAATTCCAAAAGGGGGCACTGTCATGGGGAGGGTAGGCCTTGATACTGGCTAAGATCATCTCCTCTCCCAGGCTCCCAGAATGGGTCAAGAAGAGCCAGGGTCAGCTCTCCCCGGGAAAACCCATGGTCCAACTTCTGCTCTGTCCACTGAGGTTTCCAGTTACCAAGTCCTGAGTCTTTCCAGGCCCCTAAAGTGTGAACTGGGTGTTCACATCAGCATTGCCAAGCCTCCAACCCAGCCTGTGCCTCTACATTAAGAATGGAAACATGTGCTGAGCAAAAGGGACCAAACAGAGACATGAAATTCCCCCTTCCTTGGTAAAAGAGGCCTGCTTTTAAACGAGGGTAACTCAGCAGTTAGGATCAGAATGCCTGACTCCCCCTGAGATTGACCTGGAGAGGGACAGGCATGATGTCTTTTCCCCTTGCTGGGGGCTCCTCCATACCCAGCATTGAGGGCTGACTCTTACTCCCTGATGGCGGGAGGGGTGGGCTGTGCTGGCCTGGGAAGTTTCTCCTGCCTCTCCCAGATTCAGTATGAGAGGTGGAAAAGATCTAAGCAGAGTCCAGACTGGGAAAATACAAAGGAGTGCAGCGACATTCAAAAAAACAGTTGTTTTTGGAAGTAATCCCCAAGTTTCTATACTTAGGCCTCCAAAACCTACATCCCCTTTTGGACGTCTGGTCAATTCCAAGGAAACATCATCTGCAAGAGGGTGTAAAGGGTGTCAAACTTGACAGAAAGGCAGTGCGGGGTGGGGGGTAGGTGTCTGGGCTCTGGAGTCAGACTGTGTCTGTGTCTGAATCGTGGCTCTCCACAATATACACCGTGACCCCGGGGGTGACACCAAGCCTCAGTTTTGTCATCTCTAACATGGGAGCGACAAAAGGATCCTCCTTCTAGAGATGTTGGAAGGATTAAAATATGGCATTTAGCAGGGTGTCTGGCACAAAGTAATCTCTCAGCTAATGTTTATTAGAATACAGGGGGTCTGGTGACGACTGTCTAGTTAGGAAGTGAGCACCCCCAAACTAAACTTCCCCGTTTGCGGTTGGGTTAGAGAGGTCTTCCAGGAATGGCCTACCTTCGGCTGCTGGGTCCTGGGGTCCTGGATGTGTTCCCAGTCTCTGCCATTTAGGCTATAGGAGACTTTGAACTTGCGCACAAACGCCCTGGCTTCCACGGCAGTAATGCTGTCTCCCCCGCGGGCCCCCTGGATGATGATGCCCTTCACCGTCTTGGGCACTCCCAGGTCCACCTGAAGCCACTCCTCGCCCGGCTGGGCCTGAGGGATCCGGGGAAACCAGCCCGAGCGGCTGCTGACCAGGCGGGCGGCGCTGGGGCTCCACAGGTACTCCCGAGTGGAGGAGGCCGAGATCTGAGAATCAGGGATGAGGCCCGAGAGCATCCCCAGCATGTTGGAGCAGGGGGCATCTGTGGAGGGGAGGGAGACGCAAGAGCTCATGGCCGCACCCAGCTTACCGGACAGCACCTCCCATTACAGTGAGCTGTGAAAGAACCCGACTACCACACGCTGGAAGTCAGCACTGGTTTCTTTGCGTTTCAAGCACCGTGGTTAAGAGCCCAGACTGGGAGCCAGACTGCCTGGGTCCATGTCTGCTTTGTCCCTTACTAGCTGTCTGACCTTAGGCAAATGATTCCACTGCTGTCTCCAGGTCTGAAAGAGGGCTAGCGGCAGAACTTACCTCTTAGGGGTTATTGCAAGGACTCCTTCGGCTACTACACAAACGGTCATAGCACAGGGCCTGGCACATCTGAGCATCCCACCCTGTTAGCCAAGGACTCGCAAATCCTTGTGGGTAACACCTGGGCCCCCGGAGCCTCCCAGGGCTATGAGCGCAGCAAAGCTCAGCTGAGCCCTGAGTTGTTTCCTGGATGATTGTTTTCCCAAGCATGGAAACTCTGCTGGGGTCTTTGCTTTCACATGTGTTATCATAGCTTTTTACGACCTTGTGCCCTTTGCACATGCTTTTCCTGCTGCTCCAAATGCTGTTCCCTTCTATCATCATCAGACAAACCTTTACTTAAGTATCACATCCTCAGAAAGGCCATCCCCAAACTTCCAAACAACAGTCAGTTAGGTCCCCCACTCTTTCTCCGAGCACTCTGTCCTTTTCCTTCATACACGCATCTTAGTTTAAACTATCCAGTACTTGATCTGGTTATGATCCATGCTGCCCACCAGCCTGAAAGTTTCATGTGGTTAGAGACCCCATCTGCTTGTCACTTCCCCTGTCCACTTCCATTCCCAGTGTGGGGCCTGTTGCACAGCAGGCCTCCAAGATTACTTGTGTAGCCAATGAGCAGATGCACAGATAAATGGTATCCGGCAAGACGGGGTCTGCAGCCAGGGTGCATTAGCTACTGCTAAACAGAGCTCCAGGTGAAAGTGAGCCTGCTGGAAAGGTCACCCGCCCCCTCACCTGTGACCCGGCAGCCGAAGAGCTCCAGCCGCAGGGCAATGCCCGAGTGCCAGGTCTGGGGCCGGATCCTGACGAACCTGGTCAGCAGGGGCGTGTGCAGCTTGTTGAGAACCACCTCCGTTGCGTCGTTGTTGGCTTGGAACACCTGTAGGGTCAGATGAGAAACCACCGTCAAAATCCCGGCTTATAGTGCGACCGCTCACCCAGCCTTTGAAGGGGGTGCAAAAGTTCTGTTGAACCTTATTTCCCCTCAAGCTTGTAATAATCAGTGTGTTTGTTGTTTGGGGCTTTTTTAGAAGTACCATGAAAAAAAAATTAAATTTCTCACACTGCTCTAACTTGAAAACAATAACTGGTCTTCACAAAAACTTTTAGAGGAAAGAAAAATCTTGCCTCTGGGCTGAGAGCAAGCAGAAGAAGGCGCCTTAAATCTGGAGCAGAAGGGTCATCTTTTAGGGCTAGTGGACCTCATTAGCTTGAACTTGATTCTCCCCCTCCCTCACGGTGCAGGCATATAGGAATATTTGCCAGGTATTTTTATAAAGTGCTTCACAGTTGTTTTATTAGTTACTTAGAGACCTCCCTGCTCCGTGAATGGGTGAGAGCATGGGGGGGGGAGGGGTTTGGCAGCACCATTTACTCCTCGGGGCCCTGTGTCAATCAACACTTTCTTGGTTCCCTCTGGTCTTTGTTGGATGTTCAGGGTTGCAGACAGTCTCTCAGAGTCCTGCCCTGGTTTCCTCTCACTGTGGTCCCACCCTGTAATGAAATCCATCCCTGTCCCCATCTGACCAGTGCATCTCTTAGGGGAGGAAAGGCTTTTCGGAGTGGCTTCTAAGCCAACATGGTAGGAGCAAGTCCTAGTTTACCAGATGGCCCAAATCAATAACTGCCATATGGACCTTATGCTTTCCTGTGCTCTCCATTAAAAAAAAAAAAAAAAAAGTAGCTGGCGCAAGTATATGTGAGTTTCTCTTGGTTTCCTTGCTAAGGGCTGGGGGAAAGACCCACTAACCAAGCATCACTTCTAAATCATACCTGTCATAGCTATAACAACCAAGAGACTCTGCAAATCGACTCGAGGGACTAGACACTTCAGCTCATGATACCTAGAATAGGCCAGGTGTGTGGACACTGACAGGGCCGCGACCAGAGGATGGGGAAACTGGTCTGTTCCAATACCCCTGAATAGACACCATGTAAACACAATTACATCTATAATGCCTTGGCAAGTAAGTATTATTATTTCTGCTTTTTTGATGAGAAAACGGAGGCTCAGGGATGTCCGTCTGGATCCAAAGCCCCTGTGGAGATGGATCGTAGGTTTATGGTTTCCTACGTTGGCTCTCACCTCTTTTAACAAATTCGCAGTGTTTATATTGGTGGCGAGGAGTCTTGGAGTCTTTAAGGTCTCTGAGCCTGGGCTGAATGGAGGTGGGGTTACTCTTCAGGGATGTGTGTTTATAATCCTGACTTGAAAGCTCTGGATAACAGCAATGAGCTGCAAGCCGCTTAGAGCTAATTAACAACGTGGTCCTTTCTTTCCCATGAACTGTAACTAGGAACTCTGCCATTTGGCAACCTTGAACCCTCCATATTTCCCACTTGCTGAGGTCAAAAGTTAGAGCCCTTAAATAGCACACCACTGATGGTGGGGGTGAAGGGTAAGACACATTACACCTTTGCAATCAGATCAGGGGAAGTGGCTTGCTTAAGACAGATGGAGCAAAGGAGAGGAGGAAACAGGTTTTCACTGGCCCACCATATTCAGTTTAGACCCCTTATGCCTGGTGCTAAGCGCACCGAAGCTAGGGGAGCTTCCACCCAGCCTGCCCCACTTGCTGCTCCCTGTCCTCACTAGGGAGCCTCCCGCCCATCCTAAGGCCAAGTTCCTTCCTTTGCTGCCTTGCTAACTGCAGGGGGCAAGGGGCAGAACTGCTTGACCACCCATCACTCCCAGGTCTGATTTGGCTCCTTCCTTTCTAGTGACTGGGGACAAAGAGGGGCTAGAAGACAAAACAAGGGAAGAAAGACCAGGCAAACAGGAGGAAAGAGGGTTACAGTCAGGCACCTGGGGGGAGGCTGATGGAGAGAGGGGCCCAAGCCTCTGTGATCTTAATCTTGGAGAAGGACGACCAAGGGAGGGGACAGGGCCCAGGAAGGCCCCGGCCTGGCCATGCCCGTTCCATGGCTTCTCGGGAGCTTATAAAGAGCTCCTCAGCTCTGAGGCAAGGAATGAAGGCACTGAATCCAAGGGAAAGAGATTAATCAATTCTCTTAGAATTCAGCACGAGGCAGAGGCTTTTGTTTGTTTTTTCTTTTGTTTTGGCAAGGAAGAAGCAAATGCAGCACTTTGCTTATTTGGGGAGGTGCTGTGAGCCATGGGGGGCCGCCACCGGCCCGCGCCCTGAGGATGGTGAGGCTGACTGTGTGTGGCTGCCATCAGGAGATGCGAAGGAGTTCATCTGGGGAGGGGAGCTGGATTGGTCACGTGAATACATAAGTGGAGCGTTGAGTGGATTTGAACTTTAACACAGCTGCTAATCCACAGCATATACACCACGCTGGTACCGTTTAGAAACACAGCACGTCTTATGTGTTTTTAATATCCAATTTTATCTTATCTGACCCCTTCATTTCTCAGCCTTGGCAGACAACACTAAGAAACCTTTCTTCCCCCTCCCCACCCCCCCCACCCAGTAAGGAAATGACTATGTCTTTGGACTCCCTTTGGGAGGCTGGCAGGGGCGTGAGTGTGGCTGTGCGTGGGCATGTGCACATGCACGCACACACGTGTGTACCTGTCCGGTGAGGGGGCTGGTCTTCCCACAGAGGCACACGGTCACAGGGTTTGGGTGAGCCCCCTGATCACAGTGACCCCTGCCAGAAAGGGAGGCGAGGACACGGTCTCTCTGCTTAGACCACCTACCTGGCTGCCCGCACCCGCCCCCCAAGCTTCATTCTGCCATCCCGTTTTGCTCACTCTGCTCCTACCCTTGCTCGGAACCAAATGAATGCTCGTTTAACATGGCCTCGAATTGTCCTTTGGGTTTCTGAGCCTGCTTCCTTCTTGGTTTCTTGTGTGCTCTCGACTTTGCACTCATATCTGCCCCTGCTCTCTGGACCCTTTGCTGACGGAGTACCAGCTTATTTTATTAAACTCTTTATACACTTCTCACCAGAGTGGGGAAAAAACCCCCCAAACACCACTGAACCAGGCACCTGGGGAGATAGGCTGCTGCTGAGCTCATCAGTGTGGGCAAATGTCTCCACCTCCCCCAGTCCCCAATTTCTCCCTCTATTAAATGAGTTGAGGGGCGCCTGGGTGGCTCAGTCGTTAAACGTCTGCCTTCGGCTCAGGTCATGATCTCAGGGTCCTGGGATCGAGCCCCGCATCGGGCTCCCTGCTCGGCGGGAAGCCTGCTTCTCCCTCTCC